GAATATTCCGATAGTTTTTGCATTTTCTGACAAAAGGTGGATAAGAATTCGTAAGTCTAATGTTGTCACTTTCACTATTGAAACATTTGAAAGTATACGTTTTTTAAATTCCAGTATAGTTTCCAATGTAGGTACATTGAATTCCTGATGTAGGACATCGGTAGGTGTAAGATAGTCATAAAATGTTCAAAAATTTATTTTGCATTATTTATATCTTTTTGAAAATGGTCTTTCTGGAAGTTCCCTAGATTCGTCTCAGGTGTGACACGAAAAAGTCGGTATATACCAGTTTATTTGTTCTATGAGAGATATAATTTCGATGCTTATAAATAATTGGAATCATAGAACTCACTTTATTCATCCAGAATTAGACCTAAATATTTTAGGGATGTTACTTTTTCCAAATTGATGTTGTTAGGTTAGGTTAGGTTATGTTAACAATTATAAACTTTATTTTGTCAATATTTATTTTTAATTTGTTGGTGGCAGCTATGTGAGATATGTATTTAGGTCGTTATTTATTAGTTTTTCTAATTCCGTCTTATTTTTTACTGCGTATTGAGCTTTAAGGCTAGCAATTTGCAAAGTAATCACGTAAATATAATAAAGTAGTGGTCCTAGGACATAACCTTGTGGTACTCCATAATTGTTGTGTAAAGTTTACCTATTTTAACTTTTGCAAAGGAAAATTGAAGCTTGCGTAAAACTGGTAAACAATGATCCAGTAAAAATACTAAACAAAAAAATAAAGAGAATAGAAATTCGTCAATCTCTTAGTATTTCTAAGCTAACTGTGTCAAATGCTTTACGTAGGTCGATTGACAAGACAACTACAATTTGCTTTTGGTCTGAAGTCAAGGTAGCAGACAGAGTACTACTTTTTTGTAGGAAATAATACTGGAATTTATCTAATGGTGAATTATTCTCCATTATTGTTTTAATCACTTGTTTATTTATTTTGGATTTTTATGCTTGATTTTAACAATGGAATATGCTTTATTTGTTTTTAGTTCTCCTGGAAAGATTTAAGTAGTGAATGTCTTATTTATAAATGATAGAAGAGAACAGATACTTATCACTTGCAGGCGCAGATTTTTTCTTAAGCTTAATGTAATTTCAATTACTTCTTCCTTACATTTTTACCGTTTACTTCTATACACGCGATCAGTTATTTCAATTTTTTCGCAAAAAAATTATTTATAAACTTCAATTGTTTTTTAGTATCCTTAACCGCTGATTCCTACGTTTTACGAAAGTATAATTTTTTGCAGTTTTTATCATGTTATTGACTCGATTTTTACACTTTCTAAATCCAGAATCAAACTCAAGAATATGTGAAGAATATGCTTTTTTATTATAAGCTCTATTTGGTAATTTAATCACATTTAATATTGTTTATTCATTTTGCTAGTAACTGGTTTGATCCGACTTTCCGAAGTTAGGTTAAAATCTAAGTTTATGTCCGAGAATTTTACTACTTCACTTTGCCAAATAGAACCGCTGTCTGACGATATAAAAATACTCTTGTTTATTCTCATCACTGAAGGACTACATCTTCTTTTTACAATCAGATGCGGAATCACTCAACTGATGAATATAAGAACACAACAAGAGCAATATAATCTGCAAACAATGGTAGCGTGTTCAATATATTCAACGGACTATTTTCTATGTCATCAATAAAATTAGAAAATTTGCCATCTCACTCACTTTCTGTATCAATCCCTCCAAATATGAGGATAGCCAACTTTAAAGCAGATCCCTCACTCGACATTTAATAAGTCTCCGCATTAAGAATTCATGACTAACCATTTTTTTCAAATGTTCATGAGAAAGAACAAGCCATTTTCATCCTGTTTCTAAATAATAAAGTTAAAATAACTTAGTCTAGTATAGTCATAAATTGTCTATCCTTCCTTTATCGTTGTTTTTATATATTGGACAACTGCATTCTTCAGCGATACTGGAAAAATCTCGTGATTGAAAGACTAAATATTAATTATTAATTATAATTTTAATTATTAAATAATAAAACACTAAACAAAAACAAATATTTTGTTTTGTTTGTATTCTGAGACGGCTGCTAAACTTTTCACACGTTTTCGTTAATACTGTTTCTTTTAAGATATGGCTTTTTCAGTGTCAAATAACTCATTTAAAATGTATCAATTAACGGTTGCCATCACATTATATCAGAGAGGCCCTTTGTTTTTTATAATATTGGGTTGTTCGGAAAGTCATTTCGTTTTTTTTGGGGAACATGAAAGACAGTTTTCGTATAATGAATAAATATTTTATTAAATTATATATTGGCCATTCTGGTCCAACACCTTTTGCCATCGGAACAAATAGTAGTCGGAAGGCGCCAGATCTGGAGAATATGGTGGATGTTGCAGTACGTCCCATTCAAGCTGTAAAAGTTTTTGGCGAGTGACCAAACTTGGGTGAGGTCTCGCATTATCCTGGTGGAACACTACACCCTTCCTGTTGATTAATTCGGGCCTCTTCTCTTTAAGTGAATCATTCAATTTGTCCAGTTGATGACAATAGACTTCTGAATTAATCGTTGTATTGTCCGGCAAAAGCTCAAAAAAAACCATTTCTTTGACATCCCACCAAACGGAGAGCATCACCTTTTTTTGGTGAATGTTGGCTTTTGACACGCTTTGAGCCGGTTCATCTTTTCTGCTCCATGACCTCTTGCGTTTAACATTGTTGTATACAACCCATTTTTCGTCCCCAGTAATAATCCGCTTCAAAAATGGATCATTTTCTTGACGTTTGAGGAGCGAATCACACACGTCAACGCGACGACACAAATTTCGCTCCGTAAGGACATGGGGCACCCACACATCGAGCTTCGAGGTTAAGCCCATGCCTTTCAAATGGCCATAAACAGTCGAATTCGACAAATTTAATCTCTCACCGATCTCTCGTGTGGTTATTCGCCGATTTGCATCAACGGCCTTCCAGACCGTGGTGCATCTTCGACATCAAAATTGCCGGATCGAAATTTTGCAAACCAGTTCTGGCACTGGCGTACTGTTAACACGCCTTCTCCATACACATCCGTCAATTTTTTTCTCGCTTGGACAGCATTTTTACCTTTTCTGAAGTAAAAAAGTAAAATATGACGAAAATGCTGCTTATTGCTCTCCATATTTAAAAGGGCACCAACCGAAAACTACTGCGTAGAATTAATAGAACTTTTTCACACACAAGCCTTGCAATATCAGCTCTCAAGACATATAACGGTTATGCGGCTTAAGTGTGAAGTTGGTTTCGAAAAAACGTAATTAAGTCCTCTGACGGGAAATAACGAAATGACTTTCCGAACAACCTTATATATATTAATTCAATACAAAAATCTTTCAAACATTATAAAATACTACTCTCCGTCTATTACTTCAAAATATATACCAACATTGAAACCTCCAATGACTGTCCTAACCGCCAAGATCTTCTGTGCTTGATACAATACTGCCAAAATAACCTGTTCCTAAATCCCGCCAAATGCTTTAGCATTTATTTTGCTAAAAACTCAACATTGGAAAAGTGAACTTTTAAGACTCATATGGAGAGAGTAATAAGCGAATCCAATAAAGTGGCCGGCTTCATAAAAATAAACTCTTCTTCTTTTTGGGGTTGACGCTGCCAGCACTATTCGGAACTACCCCAGATAATCGAGACGGTTCTCCTGGGGAAGTTTACTTTTCAGAATTCTATTTCTATTTAAGAGGCATAAAAAGCTGCTGAGGGGATAGGGTCCGTTAGTAGGCAGGCCCAGAGCACACAAAAACTAAGATAAACAGTCAAGACGGTCACATCTAAAAAAAAGACAAAAAAAGGGACAAACAATCTCCAGCACTGTGGAACTGGGGACGGGCGTTCCTGGCCTAGGATGGAGCATGGGATCAGGCTCGTCAGATCTGAGAAAAAAGAACAGATTCAAATACATATAATTTAAAATTCCCTAGTATTGTTACTAGGCAGAGGCTGTCCAACCTCGACTCCTAACTTAAAGTTTTATCCTATCTAAAAAACATATGACCATTTGTATGTTCTTCGCACTCGGGGTGCTTTCAACACAAAGTGGTAAGTTAAGCCGATAACTTCTAAAGTTTACATATAAATAAAAAGACACTCAATAGATCTTAAAAACTCGAAATCTCTTCTTGCCCTGTACTATGCGGTCAGAATAAACTTTCGTTCGCTTCAGTCATTTTGAATCCTAAATGTAACATCCACATCACGCATTTGGGACGAGTACAAACCAAATTTTTAAGATATTTTGCATATAAAACTAACACTACAATTGAAAACCATGATTACAACCATATTCGATCAAAATTTATAGTTCTAACTCCAAAATAAAAGAATAGAAAGTTTTCAACGGTCAAGTTGATTCTCCTTGTCTCTTATCAGAAATTAACCAAAGAATACGAAGGTAGAATGTCAATCGTCAGATTACAAAATACATATTTTACGTATTACATATTTTCTTGACATCGATATTTTTGTTACTCTTACTCAAGCTTTTAAATGCCGGATGAAAAAATGTTTTCTAGGACGCAATACCATATAGGACACCCTAATTCAAATATAGTCGGTTCGATTTGCAATGGCATAGCAGGAGAGAAGGTGCCTGACTTTTACCTGCTTCCAATCGTATACTAAGAATGGCTATTACGCCCCGGTGTCGAATACTCGACAAAGTTAACACCAATTAACGGATAATTACAGTACTTTCCATTGCTGTCTGAACTCGAAAGGCCGTCTTTAATTATGTATAAATGCCTCAACAAGAAGGAATTATCAATTGCTGTGCAGTAAGCGGATTAATTAAATAAATAAACTTGCCGTATGCTACAAACGAAATAATTGCTGAAATGGAAAAATTTTCATATTGTCTCTTCACCATTATACATTTATTGTCATAGAATTGGAGAAAATATTTTTTAATAATACTGCAGTAGTATCTGTTTAGGTTCAAGGTTTGTTAGAGAGGTAGCACCTTTGCTTCGGGATGACTGGGCACTGGTCCTCATGACAACCAGGGCTGGGTGACGCGTCCGTGCCTAAAAGCACACATAGCCTCTCCTCAGCCAGGACCGTACTGCGTGGTGCAGAGCCACATCCTACTCGAGGTGATCCTGTTAACGCAGAACAGTACGGATCTAGACTGGGAGGTCAATAAATATCCCTGGTGGAGGGCAGCAGCGACCACCAGTACCAGGATGGGGCGCAAAGAAAATGACTCTGGACCGGCTCATTACTGGATCACTACAAGTATGACTGTAGCAGTTTTAATAGTTGTGGTACTGCGATACAGAAAAGAAACGGAACTCTTACTGTATTATACTTTCCAAAAAATCTCAATGGCTGAAGAAAACACAAAAATGGCCCTCAGTCCGGGGCACCCCTTAAGTGGGGAGAGGGTGCGAAGAATACCCCCGTCTTCCACTAGTGAGAAATATGCAGATAGAGACAGCGAAAAATTCAAAATCTACGGTAAAATCGTCCGCATTGCCACATGGAATACACGCAGCTTATTTATGGCAGGAAAACTTACAAACGTTGAATGCGAGATGAACAGATTGAACATAGACATCATGGGAATGAGTGAAGTCAGATGGCCTAACTCTGGAAAACAAAAAACTAAAAGAGGGACCATGTACTATTCAGGAGGCACTGATCCGGACCATAGATATGGAACGGCAATACTTGTCTCAGAGAGAATAGCAAAGTCAGTGACAGAGTTCATTCCCCTAAGTGATAGGGTCATGATGCTAAAACTACAAACAACCCACAGAAATTTAAACATAATCCAGATCTACGCTCCAACACAGGACAAATCAGACCAAGAAATCGAAGAATTCTACTCCCAAGTTGATGAAGCCATGCGACTGACAAGGAAGGGTGAAATAAGTATGGTTATTGGTGACTTCAATGCCAAGGTAGGCCGTGGTTCTGATGGAGATAGTGTAGGGAATTACGGTCTTGGAACGCGCAATGAAAGAGGCGACAGACTGATACAGTTCTGTGTAGAAAACAACCTAATCATAACTAACACCTTTTTTAAGCTTCACCCCAGAAGACTATATACCTGGAGATCACCTGCAGACAGAGAGGGGACGATTATCAGAAACCAGATTGATTTTATTCTCATAGGACAGGAATTCAAAAAATACATAAAAGCAGTGAAAACATACCCTGGCGCAGACATTAATAGTGATCACAATCCTGTGGTGATAGACTTCAAACTCAAACGATTTATGAATACCAAAAGGGAAAAGACCACAAAACAAATAGACTTTGCACAACTGAATAACACCAAAAAGAAACAAGAAATAAGTTTGAAAATAGAAAGAGAAATAGAAGCAGCAGTCAGTTTGGCACCAGAAAGGGAAATAGAGACGACATGGAACATATTTAAAAACAAAATAACCAACATAGAGGAACAGGACATCGGCTACATAAAGAACGACAGGAAGAAAGAGTGGATGACACAGGAAATTATGGACCTAATGAATGAGAGAAGGAAACTTAAAACAAAGCCGACAGAATACAAACAACTAAATAGAACTATTAGAAAGAAATGCAGAGAGGCAAAGGAACAATGGTTGATAGCAAAATGCCAAGAAATAGAGGAGCTACAATCAAAACATGACAGCTTTAATCTGCATAAAAGAATAAAAGAGATGACAGGCAAACACAGGCGACACCATGCATCAATACTTAGGGACAAACACAATGAAATAATTACGGGAATAGATGCTAAACTGAAAAGATGGCATGAGTACATCGAACAGCTATACAACGACGAAAGAACACACACCCCACCCTCATATAACAGCGAACTAAACGAAAAAGGTCCAGTAATATCCAAATATGAGGTCATGCACGCCATCAGATCACAAAAAAATAGAAAAGCTACTGGGCCAGACAAAATTCATGCAGAAACACTTAAACTAATAGCAGATAATGAAGGCAAAAGCTTGGATTTGATAACATCACTGTTTAACAAGATCTATAGTTCGGGCAAGATACCAGCCGATTGGCTAAAGTCAACTTTTATAACGCTGCCCAAAAAAGTCAATGCCTCTAATTGTGACGATTATAGAATGATTAGCCTCATGTCCCACGTGCTCAAAATATTTTTTAGAATTGTCCACACAAGAATATACAGGAAATGCGAACTGCAAATAGGCGAAACTCAGTTTGGATTCCGAAACGGACTAGGTACACGCGAAGCACTCTTCTCTCTGAAAGTGTTAACACAAAGATGCAGGGACATGAATGTAAGCGTATATGCATGTTTTATCGACTACCGCAAAGCATTCGATTGCGTCAACCATCAAAAGATGATCGAAATACTAACAGCAACCGGTATCGATGAGCAGGACTTACGTATTATTTCAGAACTTTACTGGAGGCAAACAGCAGTGGTCAACATCGAGCAAAACATATCAGATGAGATACTGATCAAGAGGGGAGTTCGCCAGGGTTGTGTGCTGTCCCCACTATTGTTTAACCTCTACTCGGAGGCTATATTCAGAGAGGCAATGGATGGAATTAACGGAGGAATAAAGATCAATGGCATCAGCATAACCAATATCAGGTACGCGGACGACACTGTTGTCATGGCAAGCAGTCCGTCCGAGCTACAAATCATGATAGATCGCATAGTCCATTATAGCCACTTTTTCGGATTGCAATTAAATGTCGCCAAAACCAAAACACTAGCGTTCTCAAAAACGGTTACTCATGTACATCTAAATGTTAATGGGAAGCCAGTTGAACAAGTCGACTCAATCAAATACCTGGGAGCCAATATCAATAGCCAATGTAATCCGAAGAAGGAAATATTGTCGAGAATCGAGCAGGCGAGAAGAACATTTATGAGCATGAGGGTATTCTTCATAAGATCTGACATAAGTCTTGAGCTCAGATTGAGAATGGTGAGATGCTTCATCTTCTCTGTTTTGCTTTATGGATGCGAGAGCTGGACACTCGATGCTCAAACAGAGAAGAGACTAGAAGCGTTCGAGATGTACATATATAGAAGAATACTGCGGATCTCATGGGTACAGAAAATCACCAATAATGAGGTTTTGAATCGCATGCACGGGTCTCGCGAATTATTAAATATAATAAAACAGAGAAAAGTGCAGTATCTTGGCCATGTTATGAGGGGCGAAAAATATGAATTTCTGAGGCTGATAATAGAGGGCAAAGTCCAAGGTAAAAGATCGATAGGAAGACGCCAAAACTCGTGGCTCAAGGACCTCAGGAGGTGGTTTAATCGCTCATCAATAGAAATATTCCGGGCTGCAGTTTCCCGAGCCACAATAGCCATTTGGATCGCCGACCTTCGAAAGGAGAGGGCGTAGTAAGAAGAAAGAAGAAGAAGTATCTGTTTGGATGGCAGCTCTTCAGACAGGTAGCAAAGAAATTTGGATCAGTTGTATAACATATACAGAAAATATAATAAAAGAATTCTGGGAAAAAGAGAATACACTTGATATAATGGTACCATCACTAGTTTTTAATGTAGACCAAGGGCCATTTTCTGGTAGTAGCAGTTCCAATTTTGACTCTGATGATGTTTGTTTCATAGTAATTACAAAGTAAATATGGTGATATATTTACTCTTGTCAAATTATAATTTATATGGTATAGTTTTACGATATTGTTTTAATTTTTAGTGCATAGTTTTCGGACAATGGTTTATTTAATAAATTTTCATATTTAATATATGAATCAATCTCTGAGTATGACCGTAGTAGTTAAATTAATTAATGCCAAGTACAACTGATTCTGTCTCTCTTACTCTCAAATGATATAATCGTGATCGTTAGTGGTGACTGTCTTGCATTGATCAAATAGACATTTAGGGCCGGACAACATCTGTTGAAGTATAAGTGCAAGCAAAATGAACAATCTATTTTATTCTCTCCTACTATGCCGACTATGTATGATATCACAAATCGTACCGACTATATAAGCTTGTCATAGTCTTCGTGTGTCACTTTGCATAGTGCTAATTTTGTGCTGGTAATTGCTAAAGTTTGGATTTACTGGTGCACCTATCTTTTTAAGATAAGACGGAAATGGTTTTTTGGGACTCTGTACAGCACGCAATCTAAATTGTCATTAAATAAATAAATATAACCCTAGAACGAACGGCATTTATTATGAGCGAAGCGAAGGGGCGGTGTTTCACAACGGGCGGTTGTTTTTAGGAGAAAAAGCGGCCGTGGCAGCGAAATCGGCGGTTCACGGATCGCTCCACTATCTGAACAAGACCATTTTCAACGACACTAAGCCATTCGAAAAGCTGACGACAAAGGCGGACGAAGCTAATGCGGAGGGCGGTCTGAACCCGGACGAGAGCCTCAATTTGGTGGGCAACACCAGAGAGGTGTTTGTCGCCCTACTCAGGGCTTTCAACTGCGCCCACGATCTCATATTAGAGAATAAGGTAAGAGACAATGGATTTATGGGCTGTTTCAAAAAAGGGTAGAGTAATGAAATGGTTAGAGATATTTGTTTGTTTACGGTTTTTTTTGTTTAAAACTAAGAGAACGTGGTAGAGAACGTAACGTAATTGAATAGATCGATAACTTTTTCTTTTCCCTCTCTTTATCCACCGAGCCAAAATACCGCAATTTATCCACCGTGTCAATTGTTTTACGCCATGATTTTAGTTTTCTTTATATTAATACTCAGCCCATACAAAAAAGTAGTCTCATTCAGTCAGCCTAGCAGATCCGCTAATTCATCATCTGCATAAGGAACATTGTTAATAGGTCTTCCATTTACCTTGATAGATATTAAACGGTGTCGGTGATAATATATAGCCCCGCCTAACTCCTTTTGTGACGTTGAAGGAATCTGTCAGAAGGCCACTATGAATTTTGATTTCGATTGACTGGTTCCAGTACAAATGCCTGATTATTTTGATGTCATCCATGCCGATCTCAGTCAAGCTCCTTAATATAAGGTCTTTGTTTTTCTTTATCTAACGCACTTTGGTAATCGATGAAACAGATGAAGGCATTCTACGCCCGGTTGTTTTGAACCAGAAGTTTCATTGAATACAAAGCCTCTTTTATTCACAAACCTATTATGAAGTCGAATTGTTACATGTTACTATAAATAATTTATTAAATCCGAGGTTTAAACAAAAATAAAATTATAAACTGCGCAATTTAACAGAACAAACAGAAAAAAGAACTGTTTAATTAAGTTTCACTTTATTTATCCTTCGAACTCTCTTCTACAGCTTAAAATACTGTTTAAATTGTTTTCCCAAAGTTGCAGAGTTTATAATTTTTATTTTTGTTTAAATCTCAGATATAATAAATTATTTTCACATTACATTTTTAAAAAATAAACTTAATCCGTCTCTATAGATTTTTCACATTCAGGTAATATTTGTTTTATTCTCATTCTTTTGTGATATTTTTAGGGTTTAAATATTTTCAGTATTTTATTCGTGTTGTGTGTTAGGTGGAGGGAATGCTTAATTAAATTGAAAGAGTATTAATAGGAGTATTTATTGGAAGGATAATATACAGGGTTTTTTTGTTTTATGTTTTCCCTAAAATTAATATTTTGCATTTTGACTCACCCTGCATAATCGTTTATAAGATTGTCAGTGTAATAAAATAACAGCTCTCGGAAACGGCGTCAAAAATATAGTGTTAAACACATTTTCAACGAAAAAAATCCTAAAACACTCGGTATAGACCATAACAATCCTACATTGGGTGACTGAGTATAAAAGAAAAATAGAAGTTTGATTTGCCACATATTGATCAACCACGAACATAATTTTAAATAGTTTCCTTTAATCAAACTTTTAACTTTTGTATTTAACATTTTTCTCTAAACAAAGAATAAACCTTGACATACTATTTGAACACCCTGTATATAATACTCAATAAGCAAACACACTCTACCTTTTCTCCAAAATACAGGAAAAAAAAGACTCAAATTTTGTATAAAAAGCTTGGTAATTAACACTCCTTTAAATATATATTAAATATTATTGTTCGTATAAAGCAAAAAGCAAAACAGTATAAAAAATCCAATATTTTTAGAATAAATAGAACACAAAAAATTCATAAAGTACACAGTCTACCTATATAACGTTTTAAATGGAAACAATAATAAATACATTCACGAGCATATACCTTCATGTGTTCACTATTGTCCAGACGATATGGTAAGATTGAACATCACCAGGTTTTTCTTTTATTCATTGTACTTAGGCAAATTTTTTCATTAACAAGTTCCTTACTAATTAAACATTCATACATGTTTTTCACAATTTATTTTGACTGTAATGAGTGATTTCGATGCGAAGCTTTTGCATATATGATAAACTTGACTCGGGTCTGTCTCAGACAAATTATTGATTGTTACGTTTATCCACTAATATGAGGGTCACTTAAAAAGTTTCCGACCTAACAATAATTCAATACATTTTTTCTTTTTTTTAATTTTCTTCTTTGTAACTCTATACACTTCTCCCAGTAAAGCTAACCCGTTCAAATACTACCCAGCGTTTTTTTTTCCGTAAAATAATTGTTCACGAAGGTGATTTGACGACATTCTTTGTCCTCTGAGCGCAGTTTTCGGTTGAGGGAATAAAAAGAAATCGCTTGGGGCTAGATCTGGTGCAGTAAGGTCAAGCAGTTCAAATTGAAATTCGTGGATTTTCGCAACGCACCGTCACAACCGCTGAGGTTTTTTGATTGATTGATTTTGATTTCAAATGTGACAAACATGTTCTTCGAAAATTTTCATGACCTCTGCTATCTCTCATTTTAAGCGCTATTATCGTCGGTAGTTACAGTTTATGGACATCTCAAACGTTCATCATCTCTTAAACTCTTACGGCTACATTTAAATTCAGCTGCTCAAAATTTCACTGTGGGAAATGACAGTGCAGAGTACCAATACACATAGTTCAACTCACCTTTAATTTACGTAGGCGTATTGCCTTCCAAAAACAAATGTTATTACAGCTGTATATTCAATTTTTGCCATTTTCACGAAACCACTCACATCGCCTCACGCAAATGGCTGAAATTTTGATAAGTAATTATCAAGAGGTGCCCAACTACGATCACTGGCTTTTAGTAACTAGTGCCGCCATCTTTAGAGTGAGGTCGGAAACTTTTCAAGTGACCCTCGTGTATATAAAGGTTGTAATTACGTTTGGAAAAGGGTTCAACAAAAGCCAAGACTTTAACACACGCTATAACTAGAATAAATTCGTCTCTTTGTGTACCTAACAAAGTTTTGTTACTCCGCACCTTTCCTAAATAGATTTTGAATCATTTACGGGTTTCAAAACGTTCTTAGGGCATGCTGACGACCCTAACAGTAGCCGTAGTGCTCCCGCTAAAGTCAAAGTCGATCAGGATCGACAACGGGGCGAGGACCAATCACGAGCCGCGATACGTGTGCTGCGTGTGCAACGTGGGCGACACGTTGGCCTACGTTTTCTCGCAAAACTACGGCATTAGGGAACTGACCAAAGGATCTCACGACGTGAACAGTAACAGGGACATGCGGGACGCTTTGGGCGCCCTCGGACCGGTCGACGGTATCAATCCGGAACTGAGCAACCTCACCCTCTCCATAACGACGTTGAACGAGGACGACATCGTCATGGTGGCAAGCGACGGCCTCACCGACAACTTCGACCCCAACGTGTGTAAGTTTACGGTCAACTCGACCGTGGACCCGCCCAAAGCGAAAAGGGCGGGGACGGTAGCTGCCGGCCTGCAGCAGCAGCAGCCTTCGGAAAAATTGACAACCCACAGGGAGGAAACCGTCGGTACGGTTCCGAAACCTCCGGTTAAACCGCCGAGGAAGTCGAAGAACCGGGGTTCCATTACGAGCGAGTCCAAGTCCAGTTCTTCGCTAGAAAGTAGCCCCGCGCCCCGGTCGAATAGTCCTAGTTTACGCGAGAGTAGTTCAAATGTACCGGGATCCGAGCATCATCGGAACCCGCTGGTGGACCACTTCATGAGGCAGAATTCTCTCGACGACGGGTCGAAACTCAAGAAGCCTCAAACGCTAGACGTAAGGAAGCAACCGCCGGTAATGGAGAACAAGGCGAGCAGCCTGCGGCGACAAGTCTCTAGTCAAAAAAACCCGCCAACCTCCAGAGAGGGGGGCTACAAGTTGTTGAAGTCGAAGACGTCCCTCGACTTCCGCGCTTCGAGTCACAAGCCTCAAATATTGAGGAACAAGGACGGAGTGCCGTACGTGACCCCGTTGCAGCGGTACGAACTTCAACTGCTGCTCATGGAGGACGTCCTGCTCAACGGTATTTCCGGTCGAGATTCGCCCACCGCGAATGCCAAAAGACTGTGCGAGAATCTAATTAGTTTCACTATCAGTATAACAGCCGCCAAGAGGCGCACCTTGGAAGACCCCGACATGTATTTCGATAACAGGAACGGCGTACTGATGGAGGTTTCGTCCCAGGAAAAAAAGCTGCGGAGGAAACGGGGCCTGGACAAGGTGCAAGCGTTGCCCGGGAAGCTCGATCACGTGACGATCGCGGCCTACAACGTGGGGGGCGTGGCCCGTTGAACGGAGACATTACCATAGTACCATTCCACAGAGTAAATCGTTATTACCTTTACTGACGAATATTTAAGTCCCGATTACGTTTCGTTACTACCGTTCTATGCAACGATATAATCAAAAATCGTTGCGAAGTGACTGCCATTCTCCGAAATTTAAGTCTGTGCAATATTCGAGCAAAAAACCAAAAACTATATACCATCTATTTTTTATAGGCCCGAAACGCTAAAAATAACTGTTTAAAAATGTTCGGTTTTAATCATTTCACTTTGTTATATGTGTTACCTGTTGTATTTTCTGTACGAAATAAATTTATATATAAAAAGCTTCGTTTTTGTCAAAAGAATATTAGCTCACCCTAGGATAAAAGCGTGGACTGCTTACAAATAATGAAAAGACTATAATCCATAAATACTGAAGCATGTTTTCCTAACTAATCAACTTCAAAGCCGAATAAGAATCCAATATGGTTATTAATGTTTTAACCAAACCACACAGTTTTCTAATTTTAACGGGACCTAGCTGGAACAAACGTCCGCCACTCGCAACGGATCCCGCCACTTGATTCGCTTTTATTGGCCCGGTCCACCATGGACACTCGCGCATAGCCGACATTCGTCGAGGGATACCGTAGAATCTACCACTACAACGTTGCTTTTATTTGTGTACGTCTGCTGACGACATTCGCAACCCATTGCCGACAGCCGTCACGGAACAACAAATATACAAATGCTAAAAATTACACTTGTTCTCTGTAAACAGTGGGAGCCAGTAAAACTTGAACAAAGAAACAAGAAAAACAAACGTTTTTTGAGACCAATACAACGAAGTCTGCTAACGCATCGCATCAATTGACGCAAAGTTGTAAAATTGTAAAGTTTTTTCTTTGAATTTTCGCCACTAAACCGGGTAATTTTTGTTTCGTTGGGCAAAGATTTTAGACGTCTTATTTTGGCGTTGTTTTATTTTATCTCTTACTTGAAGCGCACGTAATGATAGTGAATAGTTCGACGCTACCTACTGTGGAATAAGGCTCCATAAAGTTTAAAGCCGAAGTGGTGGTGTAATACGCTAAGTTTCGAAAATATGTGGGTTATGAATTTAAAAAATAAGGATTTGCTTTTACTGTACCTGAACTTCGCTTGTTATGTACATATTTTTATTTGACTAGTTTCTTTCGCGCAAGTGTGTCCAGGTAAGTCCGCGAGCAAGTGCGAAACAAATTGCGACCACACTATTCAGGTAAATCTCGAGGTTCACCAGTTGGTGGGGCCTGCTGCTGTGCGAAAAATGAAGTTGGCCTTCGCACTTGCTCTAAAAATCAGACACCATCTGATTCGCTTCGAGCCGCGCTTGCAACTGAACGCGCCTTGAGTTTTGACCCATACACATTCGCACTTACTCGCGTGTCTTGACCTGTACAGGCAGGTCTTAACAGTTGCCTGCATGTGTAAAGGCAAAAGCAATATTTTTAAATTAAAAAGAGGTCTGCCTGTTATTAAGGTTACAAGCTGACGAAAAAACACTGTTCTTCTAATAAATGAAAATAAAATTAACTAACAAATCCTACGAAGCTACGAAAAAAGCAACAATTGGCAACATGTTAGCTTCGGACGGTGTCACTTATTGACGAGTATTGCCGATGGCGCATGCAACTTTACAACCTTTTGCTGCCGATCTCCCATAATCATTTTGTGATTCACGGCAAATCCTCTTCGGTATCTAAAAACACTACCAAACACTGCGTTGCGATAAATACAATTTTGTTGCCCATTATTCCTCCGAAAGAAACCCAGAAATAATCTAACTTTTTAACGTAACGTCAACAAAAAGGAACCTGTAAAATTCGACCATAAGCCGTTAATAACAAATAAACTTTATTTAATAAAGTGACATAATGGTGAAATTGCCATTTCCAATCCCCAAAGTGGATTTTTACCGTTTTGTTTAGGCCGGTTCATAGATGGCGCCGTAAGGTCGTAAGTTTCCGCAACGTCCGCACCTAACGACAAGATAATAGTCGAAAAATCGGCACCATTTTCGAAATAAAAACGATTGCGATTACCATCCGCTGCGAACCGGATCTTACCGGTTCGCCTAACGATCCGATTAAAAAAAAAGGTGGGGAAACGTAAACACACGGGGTTATCGGCAAACCTGTTTATTTTCAAACTGTGCCGTACGAAAAATTACATAATCACTTTTTTTCTTATTCAGCGACGTAAAACTAAAATAAATATGTACAAAAAATCGCTACGGAAACGTCCAGTCTTGAAAAAGTAGCCGCGAGAAAAGTCACGGACCATAAAACTTAATTTACAATGGCAACGCGTTGAGTTCGATCGGTCACTTGGTTTTCTTCCTCCTGTCGCACTTCCGGCACGAGAACCTGTTAATTTTGTAGCCCAACAGGACAATGCCGACTATACTGCTCAGCAAAAAACTTAACCCTAAGGGAACGACGACCGTGGCTAAAAGGTATGCGCAGCACAACAGCTGGGACGCGAGCAAAACCACGCCCACGTGAAAAGCGACTCCCAACAGGGTCGACGGGAGCTGGCTGATCAGCACTCTCCGGCCGGCTTGAAGCGCGGACCTCACTCCATGCGACGAGTACCGGAAGAGAAACGAGCTGAATATTAACGACCTGAACAGGAAGATGGTCTTCTCGGCGGACGCATGGAAGCCGTTTTTGGAAGACCTCAGCCATGTCAAGATGGCCGGCAGTGTGTAGTACTGAGGCGAGCATATGTACGTGTTGAATTTGAGGAACTTCTCGATCGAGGACGTGCGCACGAGCTTCGCCGGCTTTTCGTCAGTCTTCAAAATGGCGGCGGTGACGAGCGTGGCCGTCTGCGCGGTCGAGATGGCGGTAGACATGTTGGTAGCGACCTGCAACAAGAATCAACGCGTAATCTAGCAATCCGTGGCGATATTCCTAATTGGTATTCCGCCATTGTCCCATGGCCGACCGGTTAGTTTAAAGATGGCGTTGCGTAATGGGATTAAGCGAAATGGAGGGGGTAAAATAAACCGAGGTAATTTGCTACTGCCGTTTGTATCTTACAAGTTTTAGAAACGTCTCAGTCTTTAGATCAAAAACATTCCAAAATTATTATTAAAAAAACGCCGCGTTTTGTAAGATTGGTTCTTCTCGAAACCAGCTGTTGAAGTTGAAGCGCCGGAAGTCGCCATATTGTATTCAAGAGTATCATATGTTGTAAAAATCGATATGCAACAAAAGTGGAGCGACTTGTTATTTGACATTTTCCTCTTTTTTTGGTGCCCAAATGTATGTGTATCTGTACAGGGTGATTATCAAAAGTATACAAGTCCTCGTAACCCGCCGGTTAAAACAAGATTGCATTTAGTTCTTGCGATATAACACGGCCTACTACAATAATTTTGCAAAACGATAAATAGGCCAATACTAAAGAAATAGTTAAAATAACTTATTTCAAATTACGTATAACGTATTTAGAAATAGATAGAATAGAAAATACATCTTTCAGAATCAAAGGCAACACAAATTTATATTGGCTACTTGTATTTACCTAACGAAGTAGGAGATACGAAAAAAAGTATCGTACAAAAGTTTCTTGGACTCTCCTGAAGATTTAAAATATTACAATTTACATGATACAGGGTGTCCCAAAAGTGTCCCCTCCGACATCAAATTTGTTATTTTAAATGGAACATCCTGTATATATCGACATCTTTGGAATCCTTGGTTAAAATAAAGGTCACTTTCTTAAGAAATTCCTATTTGAATTTTGCATAGTTTAGGCAGAAATTGAGGTTAAGTGTTTTTTTTTTTCATATTTCGATTGTCCCGTGTAAAATTGTATTGTGACGCTACTGATACAGATATTGCAACGAAAATTTAACCACGGACTAAGGAGATGATGGCGCCTCAGCTGGTACAGGGTGTCCCAAATAGGTGGTGCCCTTTTCGCGAATTTCATTAACAAAATCTCAAGATTTTCAAATGGAACACATTTAATTAATAAACGAGAGAGTCGGCACTACGTGAAAAGGAATGCGCAATTATTTTCTGCTCACGAAGCCCACATATCCAACCAGAAATAAATGTATCAAAATGACCCAAGCTAAACATTGGACACTTTTTCTGGGGGTTGATACGAACTCTTGAGTCTGATTGTTTTAATAAGATATGTTGAATTGGATTAGAATTTATTTTTTTAGGATGCGACTAATTTTATCACCAATTTTTAGACACAATGGAGTTGAAATGCATCTTTTTTGGTAAGAGAATAAGTTAAACATATTAATTTTTCAAAGAAACTTCCACAGGCTACTGTAATACTTTTTACAAAACTTCTCTCCTGCATCGATTTTTGCTGAGTCGAACTTGGTAACGTTTCGTCAATCAACCTATTGGCTTCTTCAGAGCTTAACTAAGACTAACTCGCATTTTCCTCTGTACCTATATATACTGTCTGAGGGGGCAGAGCTAAATAAGGAGCATACACATTGTGTTGGATGATTGATTCCCTGACTGATTATTGGTGACAGGACCTGAGTCGCGGTTAAGATTGTTAGGTTGTTTATAGATTTCTATAGATTCTCGGATTTTTCGCTGGTAGAAGAACTGATTATATGCAAGAATTTTAGTTTTATCGAATAAAATTTTATGTCCGGTTTCGTGATTGTGTTCGGCAACTGTTGATGAGTTTATTTGGCTTAAGACTCTTTCAGGTTCTTTGAACCTAGTTGATATTTTTCGTCCGGTCCCTCCAATGTATTCTTTTCCCCATATGCATGGAATGTTGTAAACTCCTGGTATCTCAAATGGAATTCTGTCTTTGACGGATCGAAGTTGTTGAGAGATTTTTGGACAAGTGGTAAATGTGGTTTTGACGTTAAATTTCTTTATAACTTTTGATACGTGGTCAGTGATGTTTTGAATGTAAGGAAAGACAACAGTGGCTAGTGTGTGATTGCTTTCGGCCTCATTGCTGTTGGAAGGTTGTGGTGAGGTGTATTTTGTGATGGAACGCTTAATATCTTTAATATGGAAATTATTAGAGAGTAGAGCAGAGGTAAGGAGGTAATTCCAGGTCCAGTGACCCAGGCTGAGAATAGTTTTACGGGTCTGTAAACAAGAGAGTTGATAACGGATGATTTTTGGGCTGGATGGTGATGTGACCATGCATTAAGGTATCGGTCTGTGTACGTAGTTTTTTGTAAACACAATGACCCAATATTAGGTCTGATTTCCTGGTGATAAGAATATCTAAGAATGGGAGGTTATTATTAGTTTTCAACTTAACGGTAAAACGTAAGTTGGGGTGTACAGAGTTTAAATGTCTGAGAAAATCTACTAGGGATTCTTGATCATGAGGATAAATAACAAAAGTATCATCGGCGTAGCGTTTCCATAATTTTCGTTTTAGATGAAAGGTGTCGAGAACTTTCTTCTCAAAGGCTTCCATAAATATATTCGCGATGATTGATGATAGTGGAGAACCCATAGCTGTTCTGGACGTTTGTTGAAAAATTTTGACCGTTATTAGAAAAATATGTTCCAGACAAGCATTTTTCAATTAAGTTGAGAAGGCTTGGTTCCATATTTTCTAATTTTAATATATCTGAAATGATGTCGAGAGTTTCAGGAATGGTAAAGAAGGATTCTACGTCGAAACTAACCAGAATATCTTGTGTATCTCAAAGTAATGCTTTTTAATTGTTCAATGAAGTCCCTGTAAAGGGTTTTAATAAGGAAGCTAGATATTTTGCTGACAGTAGGTCGAATGGGTAATCATGGTTTGCGAATCTTTGGGAGTCCGCACAGACGAGGAATTTTAGAGTCATGAGGGTTAACAGATTTTCTCACGGAGTCTGATAGAGAAGAAGCCTTATCAACAGATTTAAGGTTGCGATCTATAGATGACGTAGGATCTTTTTTAAGTTGACGATATGATCCGTCTGTAAGAATATCTTAAATCATGACCACCGTAGCATTTCCTTTACCTGCTTTCAGGATTACGATGTCGGGATTGGATTTTACAGGAGTTTACAGCATTCAATGCACATGCTGCAAAGAATACATTGGAGAGACCGGACGAAAAATATCAACTAGGGTCAAAGAGCCTGAAGACTAAGACAAAATAAACTCATCAGCAGTTGCCGAACACAATAACGAAACTCGATAAAACTAAAATTCTTGCATGTAATCAATTCTTCTACCAACGAAAAATTGGAGAGTCTATAGAAATCTATAAACAAGTTAACAATCTTAACTGCGACTCAGGTCTTTACCTGTCACCAGTTAAGCTCTGAAAAAACCAACAGGATGATTGGCGCAACGTTAGCAAGTTCGACTCAGCAAAAATCGACGCAGGGGGAATCTGGCAGTTTTGTAAAAAAGTTAAACATATTCTCTAGGCTCCTTTAGCTATTGAGTTCCAAACGGTAACCTGAAATTTTTCCCACCTTCACCGCCCGGGGAAATCAAGACAAAAGACAAACAAACGAACGCCGATAACGAGGCGGCCATCATCAAAACGAGGTTACAATTTAAAGCGGCGATGACGTCAACCGTCAAAAGTAGGTCCTTCCGAAATTCCTGCGGCGCAAAAGTGGTCGGACTTTCCTGAGGCTCATCAGCGACCTTGCCCTGTACATCGCCATCGACATGCTTCCTCAACGATCGTCATCACTTTCTGCCGGCCCCGTAATATCCGCGTGCGGCTTTTTTTTCGAGTTCGCGTGCACCGCGTGTTTTCGTGTCAACGTCCTACATTGTTCTAATAATATTTTCGTAGACTCTGCATTTTCGCCTACTCCGATCTCGAATGTAACAATATCGCGCGAAATGACTTTTTTCAAGTAGATGTAGGCTTATTTTAAGAAAATCCTGAAGTAAAAATACCGCATCCAAACTTATTGACGATCTGTCAGCGGCCATGTTGCTTGTTAAAGCTGCAAATTTCGGCATTACGCAGGGCCTCTGTATGTGTAGTAGCTGTAACGGTTTTGGGATGAAATTTTATTTCTCGGTAAATAATTCTTATTGGACTAGTAGAAACGGTATATGTCTATGGTGGAAAACTTGATTATTTTAGCTTTTAGACGGAATACAATGTACAGGGTCTGTTTCCCGCAGCAGCAAAATAAAAGCATTCAGATCTGGGGGAAAAATATTTAATGGATTACTTAAAGATAAACTCTAAGCACGGCGTTAACAAAAAAAAAACTGGATTTTACTTACAATTTAAATCTTTTTAATGTTTAAAAGGTTATTTTAAACAATTAAAATAATATTTTGCGATGCTTATTTTATTATCTATATTTTTATTAATATTTTTGTTTTAATAAGAATAAGTAATTAAAATTATACAAGCTTTTTTTTAACAAATATTTATTTAACAAAAACAATAACTTTGAATAAGTTATGATTGCAAACTTATCTGTATACTAAGAATAAACTCAGTTTATTTGTAGATTTTACACCTCTTGACAAATCATTAAAAGCCTCTTGAAAGACAATAGGATTTTGCGGTCCTATATTGGCTCTTGTTTTTAATCAGACATAATTGTGCACTTGACTAGGTAAAACTATTGTAAAATTAGATTTTTCTTCACTGTTTATTACTTTGAATATTAATTTACGTTGTCCGATTTGCAGAAGTAAATTCAACTTGAAGATATTTAGTTCTTTTATAGCCTAGTTGTCCTAGTGTGTGTACATTTTTACTATTTTGTTTTGTAACACTTCCATTCGTTGAAAATTTGTTTTGCTACCCCATATAGCAAATAGACATATAAACATTGTAAAATATGTCCTTAGTTTTTTTTTGGTAAATAACGTCTACATTTAAATATTGCCAGGATCATAGGTACAATTTTATTATCTACTTACTCGTTCC